AGTTTCAATATTTAGTCATATACAAATATTTCATTCTTTTGCTTCTGATGAATGGATCGTTCATTTGCTAGACAACACTGAATGTTCTTATTTTGTCGTGTTCTTGTGTATTCAACTTATAATTCACCTTGACTTCAAGCAAATACACTGCAACATGTGAAGTAATTTGACTTTAAACTTTGGCAAACTTGGGAATACAACATTATAGCCAGTAGACATGATCCTCTTTAAATTACAATGGATTGAAGTATTTGGAGTTCTTTTTGGATAAGCTTCATCTTTCTCTCTTCGTCATTTTAGGATCAAAGTGGAGAAAGCGGGGTGGACTCAATCCGTTCCAGCTGGAACGGAATTTCATCTGATGTGGGAGCATCATCAACAAGGAGCATCCAGCTGAAAGAGCAGGTTGCTTCTGCAGATGAATATGCTCCCAAGGTTTATCGCTTTCCACATTCTCTGTGTCAACTACTTTTTTCCATACAAATCTCATATCTGTGTCTTGTCCATCGTTCTTTTTGGCTTAAAATAGGCCAGGAAAGCATACACCATCTCAAAGCAAAGGGAACGGTGGACAGAAGAAGAGCACAGAAAGTTCCTTGAGGCTATAAAGCTGTATGGTAGGGCATGGAGGCGTATAGAAGGTAGAAACAGAAAAGATTAATGGCTTGTTAGAGGCATCTTTTGGTTGTCACTCATCGCATATTANATGGAGGCGTATAGAAGGTAGAAACAGAAAAGATTAATGGCTTGTTAGAGGCATCTTTTGGTTGTCATCGCATATTAACAATGGTCTTGATTAATTTTCAGAGCATGTGGGCACAAAAACTGCAGTACAGATAAGGAGCCATGCTCAGAAGTTTTTCTCCAAGGTTTACTGCTCTTATATACCCCCATTATATCTATATGCCGCCTTTTGATGTAAGTCATATTCTTTTATGGCTCTAAGGCGTGTAGTCATCGTTAAGGGTTAATTTGTTATGTGAATGCGTTTGTTGATTTCCAATGTGTTTATGGTGGTCAGGTTGTTCGTGAATCTAATAGTGGTGATGCAAGCTCTGTGAAACCCATAGAGATCCCTCCTCCTCGACCTAAAAGAAAACCAATGCACCCTTATCCACGTAAATTGGCTACTCCAGTTAAAAGTGGAACCCTAGTCCCTGAGAAATTGACGAGGTCGATCTCACCTAATATGTCTATGTCTGAACAAGAGAACCAATCTCCTACTTCTGTGTTGTCTGCACATGGTTCGGATGCACTTGGCACGGGGGATTCAAGTAAGCGCAGTGGTAGCGCATCACCTGTTTCATCAGCTGGTGGTGGAAATTCTGATGGTTTTGTACTTTCTGAACCGCCCAATTTCATCCTACAAGATAGCTCTACGCCTGCCCAAGCAAATGCTAGTACAAATCCAGAAAACCAAGCTTGCGTGGTACAACTGCTTTTGCTACTGCTTCTTTTTTGTTTCCATGATGCTGCAAAAAAAATTTCATTTGAAATCACTGCTTATAATTCTCCTGTTTCATTCGTATTTCAGAAACTAGAGTTGCTTCCGCAAGAAGGCTCCGCTGAGACGTCTTCTACTCCATGTCTGAAGCTATTTGGTAAAACTGTGCTAGTCACTGAATCTCAGAGACCCTGTCCAACTTCTGGCACGTGCAAAATAGAGACAGACGTGAATGATGAAGCAGCATTGCCAACAGCGTCTTGGAACATAATGCCAATGAAATTTACTGCTTCTGATTCAGATTGTGTGTCAAGTACCTTAACTATGGGAACCCCACCACCATTTTATTACTTGCCATCACAAAATGAAAACCAATGGCCTACTAGATGTGCTTCTGCCACTCTTTTGCCATGGGGATCATCATGTGCATCTGTTTCATTTCCTTGCATTCAAGTTCTTAACCCAATTCCAATAAAGGGGCGTCCCATCTTCAATGACAACAATCTGGAAGATAAACAAAATCAGAAAGAAGGATCTTCCACTGGCTCTAACACTGAACCAGTAAGTACGGAAATGAGTGGAGATAAAAATATGGATGTCGAAGCTCAGAGTAGCCAACATCCACTAGAGAAGGTGAGGAAAGAATTATCCTCTAGACCTAGTGAAACCTCTAGCTTGGTGCGAAGAGCAAGTTCCACCAAGCGCATTAAGGGCTTTGTTCCTTATAAGAGATGCTTAGCAGAAAGGGGCACCAATTCCTCAAGGCTGAGCGGTGAGGAAAGAGAAGAGCAGCGAACCCGCCTTTGCATGTAACTGGTTTCCTTCTGTTGTTTGCTTTAGCTCATTAGCGTAAATTTTCCAGTAACCAGGTGAGCATCTGATTTAGGTTCTGCAAAGAACTAGAATTGCCCCTGACTGGATGAGCATGAGTCCAACTGTTTGGATGGAAGGGGCTATAAAGGACCTGATTGAGATCACACTTGTTTTGGAGAGGAGAGGAGAGGAGAGGAGTCTGATGTAGTTGCCAATACTCAGAGAATGCTTAAGAAGTGGCCAGCAAACAAAGGGATTCTTAAAAAGAAAGAAAGCGTGGTATGAATATTCATTCCGCTAGAGCAAAGGCACAAAGTCAAGGAAAGCTGCAAAGGTTGAGCCTTACATATTGAATCAGCCCCGAAATAAATGTGTGGACGAAGTGAAGCAACAGAAAATGTAGCTCTTCCTTGTAGTTTTAGCAGAAGCTGACAAGCATATCTCTGGTCTTCCCTAATTTCTTCCCTCAATTGTTCAAATGTGTTCCTTCTCATGAACTTAAATATTGTAATTTCATGCTCATGACTCATGAGCTTCTGCTCTTGTAGAATAACATAGTACGTAGTAATAAAATAAAATTTGGTGTGCCCCGCCCTGGATACTTTATTATGAAAATATAAACAGGTTAATACACACTTATAACTTGTAAGTGTTGTTTCCAGAGAATAACTGTAAATATCTGGATTTGTTTTGAAACAATTGATTTTGCATGAGATGGAGACGTAATTTTTTTTTGTTGTGTAGCTTCCTTTAACACATTTTATAGCTGTTCCAAACACTAAGAAAATGTATGAACAGCCTACAATATGATACTGAAGGATATTTCAGCATTTTACAAAATTGAATTTCATTTGGTCAAATTAACAAGATTAAGATGGTCACTTATACATTGAGCTCCTACTTATTTCGTCCCCCAGTTAATCAATCAATCTAATGAAATATAGAGCCACCAATTAGTCAATGAAAAACATGAATTTTAGGCGTTTAGACATGATTAAATTGAAATTTGAAAGAAAATTACTCCACTATTCAACACTTGAAAAGAAAAGTATCTAAAGTTATCCTTAGATACTTATGAATAGGTCGGGTTGGTTCGGATTTTTTAATTATCAAACCAAACCAATTATATCGGGTAATTAAATTTAAAGATCAAACCAAACCAATAAAAGTCGGGTTTTTAAATTTCGATTTTTCTCGGATTTTTCGGGTGTTTCTGTTTTTTTTTCCCATAAAGTCTTCATAGCACAAAACATAGAATTTGTGCTCCAAATATTTCTTTAATCCTAGTAAGTCAGAACTATATAAGGTGTCTTTTAATAAAATAACATAAATATGAGATGATTCATGGCATTGTACTAAAATATTCAACAATAAAGATGAGAATCGCATAAAATAAATATTATTAATAAGCCATAATGAAAATAAACATAATTTAAAATTACTAATAAGTTGCTAAAATAAGTACGATTAATAAGTACTATTATTTACATGAATAAACACTAAAAGAAAAATAAGTTATGCATTTTACCTAAACCATGGAAAAACTAAAAAATTAATATCCAACACTATTTTTATTCATAATACAATTGAATTGAATGTCTTTTATTATCATTAGTATTGATTTGATTTTGGTTTAATTTAGGATTTATTTGAGTTACTAACATTTATGGACTATAAAACTTATTGAAGCATCCAAAAATTATAAGTCAAAACTTGAAATAATACGTTAAAAGATAAAATTATGAAAAAGCTTAAGAAATACTTATAAACTACACTACAATAAATATTTTCATGTATTAAATATATTTAAAACTTCTATACATATAATGTCGGGTTGGTTTGGTTTCGATTTGATTTTTTTTAATTAAAACCAAATATCGTCGCCTTTTTTTTTTCCAACACCAAACCATAGTCGGATTTTTTTTCTCGGTTTGACTTAGCTTATCGGATTGGTGCGATTTGTCGGTTTCATTTGTACACCCCTACTCAAGAAGCCTTTGGCTGATTCTTTTTCTTTTACCTATTTTTGTAACAAACTCCACCTAGAGTACGTTTTACCTTTTTGAAGAAACTCAAATGGTCTATATTTTCGGGTCTACCTTACTTTTTTTTCTAATTCAAGAAATTTAGATCTTCAAGTAAATACGTAAGAGTTCATCTTCGAAAATATTATCAACACACAATGTCTACCATAGAATATAGTTAATACAACTTTACTTAGATATACTCACGGATTGTGTTATGTTTGTCTTTTTATTTTTCTTTCTTGAATGCGAAACATGCTACAAGTTCTAAATTTTTGTTCACTATTTGAATTAGTTATTTTCCATAATTTTAAAAATATATGTGACTATGAGATATTAAAGTGGTTTACTTGAAGGATCACCAATTTTTTTTTTTTTAAAATTCTCCACACTTACCCTCCAGCATGACTCGTCCCCGAACAAAGGTGAAACCAACCGCGAAATCCTTTTTAATTTTGTCATATGGTTTCACTGCTCTTTTCCCCTTTTATAAGTTCCTTGTTATTTCAAGAGTTACAATTTATTACATATTGGAAGTGTTTTATCTTTTTAGTAGGCACTAATTAAATTAATTAGTTGGGTCGATGTTAATAAACGGTTACAAAAAAGAAAATTCGAATGCTATCATCGTAACAAATGAAAAAGATTTGGATGATTCTAGAATTTGATCAACCTTCACATGGTTTCATATAACGGGACCTAAGTAGTGGGGCCTACAATTGGATACTCAATCCAAGCACCAAACCGAGCAATCTATCTAGGGTTTACAAACCCAAAACCTTTTTGTCACCCCTTACAGTGCTTCTCCTCAAACACCCATTTCATCCAACCCATCCGATTCTTCAATTCAGCTTCTGGGTTTTCAAGATTCAATCAGAAAATTCTAAATTCTGCACCAAAGGTGTGAACTTTATATCTGTAAGTAGTTCGTTCTGTTCTCATTTCTTTTCACCAGCTTTGTATGAAGGATTCTTGATTTATACAGCATAAAAAAGTGGTTTATTTTGGCTCACTGGTTGTAAAGATTGAATCTTTTTACAAGTTCCTATAGGAATTATTTAATGGGGAAATCAGGTGGTAGGAAGAAAAAGGGTGGTGTTAGTCAAAATCAAAACCAGAATCAAGTGGCTGTAGGGGAGAACGATAAACCTGTTGTTGTTAATGGCAGTGCTGATTTGGACTCATCAATTTTCTTAAAAAGAGCCCATGAGCTGAAAGAAGAGGGAAACAGAAGGTTTCAGGGTAAGGATTATGTAGGTGCTTTACAACAATACGAGAGTGCTCTCAAACTTACCCCAAAGACACACCCAGAAAGAGCTGTTTTTCATAGCAATAGGGCGGCCTGTTTGATGCAAATGAAGCCCATTGATTATGATTCTGTTATTTCTGAATGTACGATGGCACTTCAGGTTCAGCCTCGTTATGTTCGGGCCCTTCTACGAAGGGCTCGTGCATTTGAGGCTGTGGGGAAGTATGAAATGGCGATGCAAGACGTGCAGATACTATTGGGTGCTGATCCGAATCACCGAGATGCTTTGGAGATTGCTGGACGATTGAGAATGGCACTTGGTCCTCGTCCAGAGGCCCAACAGGACCTCCAGAGCCGCCCATCTCCAGCTGCACTTGGTGCTTCTGCAGTGGGTGCGGCTCCTATTGCTGGCTTAGGACCATGCTTACCTGCTCGGCCAATGTCTAAGAAGCCAGCACCTTCAGCTGGGGCTTCAGCTATATCAGTTACTAATAAGCCAGAGAAGCCATATCAATTTACACCAGCTGAAAATGGTCCTCAACCTAAAGTTCAGTTGCCAAAGGTTGTTTTGAAGCCCTCAAATGGTCCTTCCAAACCACGTCCAGATCACAATAAGGATGACCAAAGAGAGCAGGCATCTTTATCAGTATCAAATGTTGTTCGTGGACATTCCAAAGGTGTTGCGATTCGTTGGAGGCCGTTGAAGCTTGTTTATGATCATGATATAAGGCTTGCCGAAATGCCTGTGAACTGCAGCTTTAGAGTGTTGAGGGATATTGTTAGCAAACGGTTCCCAATGTCAAAGTCTGTTCTTGTTAAATATAAGGACAGTGATGGTGATTTAGTAACTATTACCTGTACGACTGAGCTTAGGTCGGCAGAGTCTTGGGTTGATGGTCTACTACCAAAAGACCCCGACGCTGATAAAACAGACTCCATTGGGATGCTAAGGTTGCATGTCGTTGAGGTGAGTCCTGAACAGGAGCCGGCTTTGTTGGAAGAGGAAGAGGAGAAGCTTGTCGAGAGCGAACCGAGTAAAGGGGATGATAGTGGATCCCATTCTTCAATAAGTGATTCTGTGGTTGAAACTGTGGATAATGAGAGCAACATGGCAGAGAAGGACGCTACCAAAGAGAAAGTGGCAACAACGGAAAATCCTGACTGCAAGGAGGTTGAAATGGATGACTGGCTTTTCGAGTTTGCTCAGTTATTCAGAACTCATGTGGGCATCGATCCAGATGCTCACATAGATTTGCATGAGCTCGGGATGGAGCTTTGCTCTGAAGCCCTTGAGGAGACTGTGACTAGTGAAGAGGCTCAAGCTCTTTTTGACAAGGCTGCCTTGAAATTTCAGGAAGTGGCTGCTCTTGCTTTCTTCAACTGGGGAAATGTTCACATGTGCGCAGCAAGGAAACGAATTCCGATTGATGATTCTGCTTCAAAGGAGATGATGGCTACACAGCTACAAGCAGCATATGACTGGGTAAAAGAAAAGTATTCTCTGGCCAGAAAGAAGTATGAGGAGGCACTCTTAATCAAACCAGACTTTTATGAGGGATTGCTAGCGTTGGGGCAGCAGCAATTTGAGATGGCAAAACTTTACTGGTCCTTTATCTTGGCTAAGAAAGAGGACCTATCAAACTGGGATCCTACGGAAACTCTTGCGCTCTTTGACAGTGCAGAAGAAAAAATGAAAGCGGCAACAGAGATGTGGGAAAAGCTGGAGGAGCAGAGAGCTAAGGAACTAAAGGATCCTAGTGCCAGCAAGAAGGATGAACTATTAAGGAGAAGGAAGAAGCAGGGAAGTGGTCCTGAAGGTGAGGCGTCAGCCGAAATTTCAGCTGACGAGGCCGCAGAGCAAGCTGCTGTTATGAGATCACAGATACATTTATTCTGGGGTAATATGCTCTTTGAACGATCTCAAGTTGAATGTAAGTTGGCTTTGGCTGGTTGGAAGAAAAACCTCGATACAGCAGTTGAGCGATTCAAGCTTGCTGGAGCTTCTGAGAGTGACATATCAACAGTTTTGAAGAACCATTGTTCCAATGAGGAAGCTACAGAGGGATCTAAGCAAACGGTTGAGAGCCTGAACACTGACGAAAGTGCTACACTTGATCTTAGCCAAAAGGCCAACACTGACGAAAGTGCAAATCACAAGAGTGATGCTAGTCAAGCTTAGGGAAGTGACCTTCTTTCAGTATTATTGGATTGCACTGGCTATCACATGTATTGGCATTTTCTTCATGCAAGTGTCTAAATTGGAGCAACAGAAGGTTTTCCCTGTTAGAAGAGTTGGTATCAGTAAGTCTTTCCTCTCATCGCTGGTGGAGAACTGGCATCATAATGTTCTCTCTCTGAAGGTTCTGGCTTATGTACGTGTGCCAACAACTTTTGACCGTCAACCTGACACTAATTTTTCTATATTGAGTTGCCTTTATGAAAAAATTATATTAGAATTTTTTTGCCTACATTTAATTCTGCAGTTATTATGATAGATGCAGCTCACTGTTTGAAACCATTAACAAAGTGCAGATATTTGTTCTCAAAGTGAAGCTTATCAAGCATTTGTTCGTGAACTGAGAGACATGAATCTGATTTCATGCTGCTTTCTCGCCCTTTTATTTGTGCTCTCCTTTGGAAGTTGATTTCAGATTTCAATGTCAGTATCATGGCGGAAGACAAATGCCATTTTTGCTAATCTTTTGGGTAGTTGAAATTTAGATGCTAATGGTTGAACTTTTAGATAGCAGCTACATCTGCTTCGGAGTCATGTTTTAAGATTGATTTATTGCAAACCTACTGCTTTTGTTGCTCTTGCTTAGTTGTTTGGACATTGATTTTCGAACCCTTTATCAAGTTCTCTTTTAATCGACAAGCAATTTGATTTAGTGTGGTGTTTATAGGATAATATCCTGTTGATTAAGCTTTCCTCCTAACTGCGCCTTTCATTTCTTACTCTTCGAAAAATTTGCACTTCAAAATTTTGATTCCATGCTTGAAATATAGAAAGATGAAGTATGCTCCCACATTCCATAGCCTGTGCTAATCCAAGAATTTCAAGTGGCTTTCATACCATTAAATTTGAACCAAGCAGATTAAACCAGAACCTTAAGGGGTTCAATTTGCCAGCATTTATTTCTCTAGTCTGAACCTTTGATTTTTTTTATTCGGTTGTTGCAGTAGTATTATCTCAAATAAGTTGTTGAAGATCTAATTATGTATCTTTCCTTATGAATCCATTAGGCTTGACCTATTATATCGTATAATATACTATGAATATATTTTACTTCTGACAAAGTCCAGTCGATATTTGTTGCTGCTTCTACCACCAGAAAATATAAGAAAAGGTTCACATAACCTTCTCATAAATGTTTGTGCATTCTATTCACCTCAATGCTCATTTTCCCGCAGAGGCAAGAACTATTACTGCATATTGTATTTTTCGGTTAATCATACAGTATTTAAAATTTACTGGTCCGACTAATTCTTATTTGCGCTGGATCGGTTCACTAAGGGGCCTTTTATTATTTTCCCTGATCAAGTGGGGCTTTTTAGGAAAGGAATGAAGAGTGATGCTAATATGGATATCTCCAGTTCTTTTGAAAATTTAGCTGTCAAAGGATTACAAAAGTGTTAGACAGCACAATAACGTCTAACTCCTTGCATTTAACCAAATTTATAATACTGCAAATAAATCTTAGGTTACTAAGTCCAACGAAGCATACACCTAAGAGCTTTTCAGTTCATATTCTTTATGGATTTAACTAGGGGTAGTAATTTGACTCTGGTTTGGTTGGTTATTGACCCGTCTATTTGTTGAACCTAATCCATCTTGACTCAACCTATTTCAGCTCATCTAAAATTGGGCTGGTTTTTAGCTCAAATGGATTCATGAATAACTTTGCTAAAATATCTTTAAAATAATTTGTTTTTTGTTTGATATGCTATATATGACCATAATAATAAAAGAAAAGAGTCTTATTTGATAATTAAATAATTTATAAGAAAATAATACACATTAATTAAAGCTCGATAAGAGTTGGGCAGGTTGGGCTATGACCCAAAATTTAGCCCAACTTAACCCAGCCCTCAGCCGAAGTTACTCATGACCCGCCCATTTATCGACTCAATCCATTTTGACCCACCTAAAATCAGCCAAACCCGTCCATTCGACACCTCTATATATATTGACTATATAAAAAGTTCTACAGTAATAGTGTATTTTAACCGGTTATAGAAAGTTATGTAATGCATTTTAAGAACTAAATTGGGATAACTATAAATAATTTTCTATTATTGTAGGCCATCTTAATCCGATGGTTTGAAAGAATTGTTCACTATTAGTGCATAGAAGTTAACTCATTCCTAAAACACTTGTTAAAGTTCTCTATTTGGCGTAAAAGTTCTTCTTTTCAGCGGCTTTTGTTTACTTCTGTTTCCTTTTTTTCAGTCTTTTGAGCTTTAAGTGCGATGTACTTTTACTTCCCTAACAGATCCTCCATTACCTAAACATAACTCGGATTAAATGGCACTTTCTAATTTCCTACCAAGTGCCCCAAGCTTTCGTAGGGGAATATAAGCTGGTAATTATCTATCATAAACAGCTGGGAAGTGGCATACACAGTAAATGTCAATGAATCGACAGATAATGCAGAAAGAAAAAGAAAAAGGTTAAACAGAGCAGTTGAGTATCTATAGTATTATTTGTATTTTTCTCCTTTTAACATCAGCGCAGTTCGGTGTCAATATAAATGATCAACTGAGAATCCTTGGAAAATGACAGTCATGATAAAAAGGAAAAAAGAAACAAATAATTCAACAAAGTTTAGAGTCCTTTTCTGGTTTTAAATCAGATGTGCTGTAACTCATTCGGCTTGAGGTATGAGTAACATATATGCACGGACATTATAAAATATTTTAATACTATCAGTGTAGTTTTTATCCGCTTTAGTAAGTCATTTACTATAGTTAGCATCTTTCTAATCCATGTAGGTTATTAAAATTTATTTGTAATTATCTTTTAATGTAAAATTTCTTCATCCTATCAAACTCAAATAATAAGTGATGAATGCAAAGGGGTTTATGGATAGCATAGATTTTATTAAAGTAAAAAAAGGAAACTTTACAATATACCCCTTAGAAGACAACTTGAGTACAGCTCACTACCAGAAAAGAAACAACGACAGATAAAGTGACATAAGTTCCACAGGAACCTTACTACTAATTTACTTCTTTCATAATTAACTATTAAGGACAACACAAACTCCAACCCATTAAAAATCTTAACCTCTTTAACCCTCTTGATTAGTTTCTTATTAATGCATAAACAAAATCCCTTCTGAAACTCTATCAAACAGTTTCAATTGGACTTATGTTGACAGTAGTCTCCACAGCTTTCATAGCCTCAAACCTAGGTTGCTTAGCCTGGAATTTGAGACCTGCATACAGCTTCATGTAATCTTCAAATACAAATTTGGGATACTTCAACTTGTTCTCTTCTTCTGCCTTTTCAACCAACTCTGGTGCTGGAAATATCACAGCATCACTTCCTGGATTATAAAAGGAAGCAATTGACATTCTAGTGCCATCTTGTTGAGCAATAACTCTGTGCTCAATACTCTTGTATCTTCCATTCGTTATCACCTTCAACCAATGAAAAAAACTAGGATCAGTAACATATAAAGTTTACCAGATTACCTGCTACAACATGTTAAAAATACAGACCTCCAGCTGGTCGCCAAGGTTGATGACAATAGAGTGTTTCATAGGTGGGACATCAATCCAATTGCCATCTTTCAGTAACTGAAGACCACTGACTTTGTCATCTTGGAAAAGCAGGATTAGGCCACCAGCATCAGTGTGAGCGCGTAGGCCTTTGATCAGTTCTGGCTTGGGGCAAGGAGGATAGTTGCTAACTTTGGTCCCAAAAGTTGGACCATTTGAGCCATAAAATGCTTTCTTCAAATAACCTTGCTCGAGCCCGAGGTTCTCACACAGCAAATCAAGAAGATGTTCAGCTAGTTTCTCTAGCTTCAACGCGAAATCCTTCATGACATTTCTGTTATGAGAAAATGTAAAGTTAGTAAAATTTAAGCAGAGCCATACAAAAAATATTGATACTTAAGGTTTAAGGATAGGCTAAATTCTTTGAGTTTGAAATTTGGAACAGTAATTAAGCGCTCTCATTTTAGTTGTGGTCCTACGTCATGTTAAAAAGGATGCAGGTTGAAGTGATACAAATCCCAGATAATTGGAGCTATCTAGCATAGTTTCTCTTCATGTCAAAAATATAAAAAATAGTGAAAAGGGATGTTAAAAAAGGGACAAAAATTGAATTTTTTGAACCTGTATTTATCCTCTAACTCTGGAACTTCATACAGATTGGAAACAGGGAGGTGTTTCAAGTAAAAAGTGCTCTCCCAATCAAGATCATCAATCTCAGTTTGGACAGCCTCAAGACCTTTACTTGCCACCATTTCCTTGAACCTTTGCTCCATGCATTTCTTGTAATGCTCCTTAGTAAGCTTCTCAATAGTGTCCAGCACTTCATGGGAAATCCCATGATTCACAAGCTTCATATATAACAACAGACAAAAATATAAGTTATTAGAAAACAAGACAATTTATAAAATTTTAAAAAAGAAAAAGTGTAAGATTGTAGACTAATATAATGTTACCTCAAAGAAACCCCAGTTTTCACATGCATCTTTGATCTTATCCATAGTTTCAGCCCTTTTCTCAGTTTGAAGTAACCACAAATCCACAACTGGGAAAGTACTCGCCATCTTTACTGGTTATCTTTTGCTGTTTGTTTAGTAGCTATTTCTGTTGTGAGTGGAAAAGAGTGTACCAGAGAGAGGTATTTATAGCCTTTGAGGGGTCGGAAAACAGAATGAAATGATAAAGGATCCGCTAAATTTAATTAAAAATATTTACTAACGTATATACATTTACGGTACACATAATTTTTCTATAATAAGTATACTTTTATTATGTTATAAAACCTACCATATTTTCTTGGATTACCAATTCCACCTATTATGAACATAGTTATAGTGTATCGGTGCACCGCTAAAAAAAGAGAAAAAAATGTATTTAGCTAGAATTGATCCTTATAGCTCTTAATAAATAATTCAACATTCAATCAAGTGCATCATTCAATTTTTTTGGAGCATGAGTTTTAAAATATATATATAAAATATCTAATTTTACAAAAAGATCATGAGTTTACGTGCCTCGTAAGTACGCCTATGAATCCGCCCCTTCTCCTGTCCAAAGTAAGTGATTATTTTACCTTTTTATTTTAGTCCAAAATAAGTGTCCATTTACATAATCAAGAATAATTTTTTTTTTCTTCAAATTTGTCCTTATTTAAATATTCCAATGTGTTAAAGTAACAATTAATTAAGGTTAATCTAGTGAATACATCCTTTTTTTTCTCTAGAAATTCATATTTACTTAATGAGTATGCCAAAAGTAAAATAGTCGAGATTAGCTTTTAGACAATTTATTTATGTAAAAATTCTTTCACTCTATCAGTATATAAAAATATAAATTCATTAAATGTTTTACATGTAATAAACAATAAAATATAAAGTGGGAACAGGACTCGTGGATGATGTATGTGTGTACATCCAGATGGACCCCTACCAAATTTGGAAGAATGTTTTAGCAATGGGCAATTGGCAATGGGCAATTCCTAGTTATTATGGTTTTATCTGTCTCTCTCTTTTGGTGGGGTTGCACCTAATTAAGTGTTCCTTTCTCTTTGCTTTTCTTTGCATCTACTTTTCTCCATGCACGCCATTCTCTCGATCACTTGCTATGGTTAAAGTTTTAAAAAAAAATATAGATATTATACAATTTTACTTTACGTGGCAACTACATTTTATGAATTCATTCCTTTTTCTTCCTGAAAAAACATTCTTTATTCGTTATTGTGTTAAGGTGCATCAAAATTAGGTTACATTCAGACGGATAAAAAATAAGTCGATTGAAAATGGGAAAGTTTCATTACTAGCAACGTGGAAAGTGAATAATTACAATATCTTAGTAGTATTAATTGATTAACAAATATAGCAGCAAAATAATATGGAAACATATCATATACCAACCAAAAACTCTCTCTAGGATTAGTATTAACTACTATTCACTTTCTATAATCTAGCTGTTCATCTCACCATAATGCATTTTCAGATTTTAATCCACATTCATTCCCTTCCATTCACTTCTTTCTCCAACACATTGAAACATAATGATATCAATTTATATATATACCAATTGTGAATAATTAAATATAAACGTGGAATAAATATATATATTCACTGTATAATGATGGTATTTAAAAGTTATAAATGACATTGGTATTCTAGTATATTAATGTTATATTTTAACATAAATTTTACAACCATTGTATATATAGATTGTGTACAAATGACAATGGTATATATTCTAATAAATTAATGTTGTATTTTATCATATTAGTCCGTCTTTATTGTGTCATTGAAGAACAAAAGTATGTTGAGAATAATGCAATAATCCGGGTAGAAGAAGATGGCATAAATTGGCGATATAGGAAGAAATTCTTAGAGATATTCGGTAATTTTTAGTTTATGGAAAGAGAGAGAAAATACGGGATCATTTACATGGTATTTTGGCGTTTAAATATGATTGATTGCAATTATATTTTCACCCATGATCTGTAATAAATATGTTATATTTAATATTCAAAAAGTCCCATTATTCTCGTATTTAACTCCTAATAATTGATAATCGTTAAAATTCCATTAAAATTCAGATTTCTAACTAGCCAATACTTGCTTGAATCAAGATAAGCTAATTTGAGTTAATTAAAAGTGTAAGCTATGTTTTGATTAAATATATCAAATTTGGTCATAAACCAAAGTAGCTCAATTTAATTAGCTTAGCGTAGATTCAACTATATATATTCATCAGCTAAATTTGATATATTTAATCAAAACATAGCTTACACTTTTAGACTTCTCCATGTGCAATTTGTCACCAAAATATATTGCAATTAACAATCTCACGTAGAAAAATATAATGCACGATCAGTCAATCAATCGACCAACAGTATGGCATCAGTTGAAAATATAATTAAGGTCAATTATATGAGCTTTTTAATTGAATTTTTCTCTTACTTGAAAAAGCTATTTCTTCGTGATGGAAAAGAAATACAAAGTTAGGGAGAGTGTCACCTTTACCTGATACGGAAAAAGGAAAGGGTATTCCATTTCTTGAAATATTTGTTTAGTAATGAAATAATAAATTTGTGGCCATTGATCGGCCACAAGCAAAAGGAATTCCTTTTTAGTATTAAAGGTAATCATATATTAAGAAGCCCTTAGATTCATCTTTTACGTAATTAAATCCCTATGGAAAGCATTAGATGCAAAAAAAAGCTAATGTCGGCATTGGAAATCCACCTGAGATCTTAAAAAGTGAGATTATTGAGCTTAATATTGCAAATCCCGCCGCCTTAAAAGTTGAGTTTTTGGAATCAAATGACAACTTTCGAAAAATTCCATAGTCATCGTACAAGTGCGATTCGAACACTCCAACTTATCATTATTTCTCCAGCTAAGTGCTTTCCCTGTTTAATCACCCATACGGCTATACCTTTTCTTATAATTGAGAAATTGACCTTTTTTTACATAGTAGAAGATTCGTCGACGTTTCCTATAGTTTTGGAAATGTTTTCAATCCATTAAAACTTTGTTGACGCAGAACATTGTGTCGTACAAATTATACAAATGCATATTTAGGATTTTAAGTTAATGAATACAAATTAGCATTGCTCTTGTTTCTTTTTACGTGACGATATTTGATTGCATATTAAGTTTAAGAAGAAAAAAAAACTACATACCGGAAGTACCCTTAAAATTTGTGGTTCTAACACCTCATAAAATTTCCACCTAACAAAATGTTAGTACTTAGTATATTGAACTTACCAACTAAATTTAGGAAATAGCCAAAAAAGAAAAAATTTACTACAATCAAATCACTTTATAACAATTTCGTTTGTTCTAATATTTTTTTAATTGCTATAGTGAAGTGTTATTATATAGGACATATATTATATTTTGATATAAAAATTTGTTTCGAGAAATTTTTTATTTTTGTTGTGATTGACTATTATATAGGAATACTATTATAGAATGACGGTAGCGTAAGTTAAAACTACCTAATAAAAGCAAAGAGGAAAAGGGTCAAAGCTTCGTTCACCTCAAATAGTAAAAGANAAAAAAAAAAAAAAAAAAAAAAAAAATTTCTTCAGTCAAACCTCTTTATAAAAGTCTTGTTTGTTCTAATATTTTTTTAGTTGATATAGTAAAGTGTTGTTATAGAAGACAAATTATAACATAATGTAAAAATTTGTTCCAAAAAAAAATTTAACTTTTATATTGATTGACAGTTATATTGAAATGTTATTATGGATAGACTATATTGTAAGTTAAAACTACCTAATAAAAGCAAAGGAGGAAAAGGGTCAAAGCTTCATTCACCTCAAATAGTAAAAGATGAAATTACCCAGGCATATATTTTAATCTACAAAAGCTACATAATTCAAAGGGAATATTAATAGCCTGCAATGGATAAGGTTCTTAAATTCCAAACTATTCATTCATTCACTCAAAATGTTTTATATATGGGTTTTACGTACAGGTGAAACCCTTATTTATCTTTGACAAGGAAACAAACGTGAAAACAGGAAAAGAGAAAGACATCTCTGCCTAAAAACACAAATGAAAATTAAACAAATGCATGATATGAAGTGGGATAGGGACATCCTCTATCACTTTATAGTAGCTTTTAATCTTAGCTTGTACATATGTTTTTATCTTATTTATGGAAATATATAACACTGAATGACAGCTTTATAATGTATGAGATGAGACTTTGCCTAAAAAGTTTGATTGAGAATGAGGCAGAATGAAAAGCAATTGTAGCATGCGTGTCTGTACTTCTTCCTTGTAGTGTTTTCTTTTCTACTGTGGATTTGATTGAATGACGCAATTAACTATAAACTAAATAGTATATTAGTTTTAATAAAACATTTTTCTTGTTATAGATAAAGAAACCAAGAATTGACAATTGAGTAGTACCTTTGCTACTATTATGCCTTTTTATTTCATATTCGAAATTCGAAACTCATTAATTCGATTAATTTGAATTTACGTGGTATAAAAGCAAATCAATGGAAAAACACTCCCGTTAGGAGTTTTTTAAAAACGAAAAAATCTCTTTGTCCCACCGCACTCCTTGAAATTATTGGTGTAAGTATTACCTTACGTTCTATACTAGTACTAATATTTAATGCACTTGAAAATTGATGGCATTATGTCTATCAAACAATATGATCATATCATAGAGACAAAGATATTGCAGGGACCTTTCCAATAATTTTGAGATCCAGTGCATATTGTAATAATTAAGGGTGTACAAAAAAAAAATTAATATACCGCACCAAACCGATAATTCGAGTCAAATCGGAAAAAAAAATCGATGTGGTTTGATTTGATTTGGTTTGATATTGGAAAATAAAACCCGACCATAATTGGTTTGGTCTGGTTTTAACTAAAAAAAGTCAAACCGAAACCAAACCAACCCAATAGTATATTTATATAATTTTAAAAATATTTATACATATAAATATTTATTGTAATGTAATTTATAAATATTTCTTAAACTTTTTCACTGTTTTATCTTTTAACGCATTATTTCAAGTTTAGACTTAACATTCTTGAATGGTAAATAAATTTTAAAAGCCCATAAATGTAGTAACTCAAACAAAGTTCAAATCAATACTAATGCTAATAAAAGAAATTCAATTTAATACTAGGAATGACGATAGTGTTGGATAATTATTTTAGTTTTACATTGGTTTATAATGAAAATGCATAACTTAGTTTATCTTTTTCTTTAGTGCTTAATTATATAATTAATATTAGTACTTATTAGCTATACTTATTTTAGCATGACCTATATAGTATTTTTAGATTATGTTAATTTTCATTATGGCTTATTAATTAGCAATATTTATTTTATGTTATTTTATTATTTTATCTTTGTTATTGAATATTTTAGTATAAAACTATGACTTATCTCATATTATTGTGTTAGTTTCATGAAAAATACATTATATAGTTATATCTTACTAGGATTAAAGAAATATTTGGAGCACAAGTTATATATTTTATGCTATGAAGACTTTACCGGAAAAAAAATCCGAAAACCCAAAAAATTCGAGGAAAACCGAGATTGAAAAACCCGACTTTATTGGTTTGGTTTGGTTTATAAATTTAAAAACCCGATACCGTTGATTTGATTTGATAATTGAAAAATCTGAACCAACCCGACATATGTTGACCCCAGTAATAATTATTTCCTCATTTATTTCCCCTTTTCATGTAGCTAAACCGTGGTCCTTTCCGTCTTAAGTTATGGAAAAACCATGGGTAAAAAGATCATACACAATATTCAAATCAATTACTATACCTTTTTAACTTTCTTATTATTTATTCTTGTTTAAATGGTCATAACTGTTTCCTTTTTATGATTGTACTTGCAAGTTATACAATGATGAAGAATTTTCCTTTAAAATGTGCAGGAAAAAATCTTAGATATGATAGGAATATTCCAATTCTCGTTCATTTCTTATCTAAATCAAGCTTTTAGACAGAGACAGCAGTGTCCTCTTATTCTTTCTGTTCGAGTATAACCAAGAGTCGGATAATATGGCTGATAAGTTGTATTATTAAACTTTATTATTCTGAAAATCAACCATACCAAAGTGGTGCTTCAAAGTTGCACGAGTGGACGCAAGAAAATTCTTCAAGATTAACTTTGATTTAGTTAGCGTGCGGCTAATTTAAATCTGGTGTTTCGGGTTGGGTTATAATATTAGTTTTTGTATTATTTATTTAAGTCCATGTGGTCCCAGAAAAAATCTCTGTGGACTGAAATAAAATGGCACATCAGCTTTCTTTTGCGGGAATTTGGACAAATTAATCTGGCCAAGTGACTTTTGGTGTGACTTTTCTGTTACATGGAGAAAGATCCATTTAAATACTGAATTCTGGATTTGATTTCGTTCTAAATTCTTTGGAATTATGGATAGTAATGACAATTTTCACACACACACTTATGGTAGAAGCAGAACGATCGATGCAATTGAACTCATATATACCCATTTTCCCGCACACAATTAAGTTTGTGACACTACAGTTGAATATTCAAATGATGAACTTGATTTAACTCTTTTCGCGAGCATATCCAAGAGGATTATTAGTGTAATCTTCGTGCAAAATAGTCTCTAGCTATCACATTTAGGTATGGTCAGAGCCTAATACATGAAATTGATATCGAATCTTCACTATTTAGCAAATTGAACTTATGCCACATCAAGAATAATTTCATCACAATCATAGGCCAATCTTAATTAGGGCTAGGATGACTAGCATACAAAGAACAAAATGTAGAATAAATCTTTTGTAGTACTGATAGTGTAATATATATATACACGTTGAAGGTATAAATATTAAGTCACTGATTTCGACTTGAAAACACAAGAGACAGTATCATTCCAAACACTTTGTTCTGCTTAATTACGTATATACTAAACAAGGTTGATGCTTACATATTATGTTGATGATAATATATGGAAGTTTTAAATAAATAACAAAGCAAAGAGAACTTCCGCATATCCGAAAATACAAAGAGCAGCACAACACGTTCCAGTGTCGGCCTTTTTTGGATCTAGCTTTAGGTTCCATGCATGGCTGGCTACCTTAATGTTTAAAGCTTCCTAAGTCCTAAATTGTGGTCTACAACTCAAGAAATTATGAAAAATGGTCCCTTCCTCATAGTCAAAGAATACACACACATATATATGTATTGGATAACAATTAAACTTATAATGTGGTTCTAAGGACACGTGATTTCACTTAATACCAATTGATAAATATGAAAATTAATAACAGAAATGAACTATAAAGTAAAATACACCAGTGTTAGAATGAAACTCAGCCCTCGAGTTTGGATACCCTCGAACCGGTTGATGTAAGAACAATTAAAATATAACAAGCTGATAAACAATAGTATAAACGAGAAAGAGAATTATATTGCTTTGATATATGTAAACAATGTGTGTTATAGATGATTAGAACCTCCATTTAAATATTGGTGGAATTTCACTTATAATATAATTCTAATTACAGAAAAAAATCTCATGATTAACTAATTAACCATTTCTGATTTGATCCGTTCCGACATTTACACTATGATCCTCGACCAACCACGGACATATCGCCTTTCTGTTAGTGTGTTATCTTCGATCTTGCTCGATGTCTGTCTCATTTGGTTTCGATCGCTGCTAGCCTCGATCTCGACAGATACCTCGATTCTGAACTCGGTACCTTATCCTCATGATTTAGTCTGTTCCGTTACGAGGCCATCCTTCGATGCAACCTCCCGGTCTCGGTCAAATAGTAAAATTGGGTGGGCCCGATTTTAACCGTATACAGATAGTCCTCTCATTTTTTGGAGTGAAATGACAAGAAACGAATTGAGCGTTCAATTTTCTACCTCGACATGTCATGACATCATCCTCATGACATAAGCGACGGGAGTGACCGAAACGTCCCGTCGGTACAGTTTCCCAAGTCATTAGTGAGTGTCAGTTGGTGGTCGGCCACTAGTGCCTTTGAACCGTCGTCGTGAATCCAATAAATAGACCCCTTCTTCATTGATTCAAACTTTACTTTCACTTCCTTCTAATCTCCAAAGCTTTTATATCTCTTAAGTTCTTCCCTTTTACAAATCTTCAGGTTTAGTTGTTAATCCTTTTCTCAAACGTCAAGTCCTATTATCTTTCTCTTCTTCAAACATATACAAAAATAGCAAAAACATCAAAAACGGTACCACAAAAAGAAGCTGCTTCATCTTCTCAACTAACCGGCGAGAAAACGCCGGTGGAACCCCATCTTGAGGAATGCATTCCTGGGGGGTGCGCGCTAAACTCTGATTTCAAGACCGATAAAGCCTCGTCGATTCCCGGTCGATGCGAGAAAATGTCGAGTATTTATGCTCGATAACTGAGGGATACCTTAAGCAGGTAAAGAAAGACTGCAACTGGGAGGACAAAGAGGTGGTGATCCCGACCCCCGAAGAAGATATCACCACCCATGTGGAAGGGTTTCTAAGTGATTACACTTACCCTTTCACGTTGGGCCCCCTCGACCCCGTCATCGTTGATTTTTGCCGTCAATATCAAATAACCCTAGGCCAAATCCATCCTTCCTTTTGGCAAATTATTATTCTGCTCCGATTCTTCGTGAGCAAAGTCGAGGGGCTCTCTTTCACCCTCGATCACCTTATCAAATTGTATAGTCTCGCCTCTATCGAGACGGGTTAATAAAACTCCAACGTCGGGATACCGAAGTGTGTTCTCGGGCATAGACGAGGACAAGGATCGAGGCTGGATGGGACAGTTCGTTCGAGTGAGGACTTCAGACCTAATCCCAGCCGAGAAGATGCCATTTCCTGAGAAATGGAACATGAATCGTAAGTACCGTCTCACTGTTAACTTCCATGTATTATTTGTTACTTTGTCTTTTCTCATTGATGTCTTTTTCCATGATGTAGCGGTCACTTGGATGCCCCTTGCGATTCCCGACCTCGAGGGCTGGGTTCGGAACCTAGCCTCGACCTCTACATATGCCGAATTCTCATGGCGCGATTTAGCAAAGGGTCGATGGGAGGCAAAGAATCATGGTAAGCCCACTTTTTGTGTATTTTATGATTTGATTAAGATGCCCTTCTTCTACTTATTCAATTTTCTCGTGTACAGGCCTGGGCAAGGATGCGGTCATGAGGCCCCCGTCTAGTGAGGAGGAGACTTCGACCCCGGTTCTGAAGCCAGCGAAGGATAAGAAGAGGAAACTGACCTCAACCTCTGAGGATCCAAAGCCTAAGAAGAATCCAGTTCGTAAGCCGAAGAAAGACACTGTTGCCCCGCCCGCAGATGTGATTCAATGGCTAAGGGAGGAAGAAGTAGAAGATGAAGACGATGGCTCGGACCTGGTGGCCCGAGTGAAGAAAACCATCGAGGCCCCAAAGGCCGCTGAGTCGGTGGTGGTTGAAGAGATTCCGCCTCGAGCCGAGGGGGTCTTGGAAAAGGACTCGGGCAAAGTCCCCGAGTCGACGAAGATCGAAGATGCCTCCCGTCGAGATGAGCAAAGGGCAGGTATGCTTGAAGAGGCCGGCTCCGAGGCCCTTCGCAGTGAGGAGAACGCTCCAAGTGGCTCACTTGGGGCAATAGATATTGGAGACTCGTCGATTATCTGTACGTTTTTTGATGAGGCAATTCGGGAGGCTCAAGCTATGAGGACTCCCGAAGTAGACGGGGCCCATGGAGGGGAGGACCTCTTTCATGGTTACTTTATTGGGGTCGAGGATTCTACCGACCTGAGTGAAGCATCGAGTCTCCTCGATGAGGCTCAACAAGCCTTGAATCGAGTGAGTCTCAACTCCATTTGTTGATATCATACTTAGTTTATTTCTTATTTTCCTGTCTAATTTCCTTTCTTTTTTCCGTATAGGGTTTGGCGCTCCATCAGGAGGCGTTTTCAAAGTTCCGAGAAGAGCTGAGCCGATGTGAGGCCGACCTTCGAGGGCTCACGGATGAGAGAAATTCCCTTAAACTTCTCAGTAGGTAAAAAGAAGAGGAGATCAAGGACCTCTAAGCCGAGTTGGCCAAGGCTCACCAAGATCAGACGACCTGATCGAGCAGGTAATGAAAATATTAAAAGCTTATGGGCTCGATTTAGGAACGGTGACTAACATTTCAATCTCACAGCTGCAGTAGAAGTTCGAGAGGATCGAGCGATTCCGCGAGGAGGTCAACATGATGAAGGCGGAGACCTTCGGGTGGAAAGAAAGTACGGACCGCTTTGCCGCTAAAAAAGAGGCTACTCGAGCCCAATTGTCATCGGTCGAAAGTCGGCTTCGAGGCCTGAAGTAGAAGAGATCAGCTCAGGCAAAGCAAATAGAGGAGCTCGAGGCTCGGTTGGCTTCCGAACTTGCAAGGGCCAAATCTGAAGCCGAAAAGGCAAAGGCCGAGGAAGAGGCGATCGTGGCCTTCTACCGGGCCGATGCTGAGGCCGCTCAAAATCGAGCACATTGGATTGCTGAACGCGCCAAATGCTAATCTGGGAGGGAAACCCTCGAGGAGATCTATGCTCGAAGTTTCGATCTTACCGATGAGATAATAAAGGCTAAAGAGCATGAAGCTGATGCTAGAGCACTGGCCTCTTCCGATAATGATGATTATGATGGCAGCAAGAGCGAGTTTGAGAATGGGGAGGACCTCGATGGAGAAGAAGTTGCCCCTGAGGAAAATTAGGAATCTTAGGCTTTTTTCTTTTTTGATTTTTTGTGCGGGACCCTGATTGGTTTTTATAAATATTTTCGTATAGATAAAAGATCTTTTTTCTCTTTGACTTGTCTTTATTCTATTTCCTGCCTCGTGAAAATTCTATTTCATTCATGCCTTCATGCCTTATGAAGATTTTTCTCACAAGTTTGGAACTTTAGGCAACTGGACCGAAGTCGGACCACTGTAGTCTTTAAAATCGAGTGAGTACTTGCTCGAACTCGAAGTAGAATTACCCTTAGGTTTTAGTTCAGTAAGGACGATTTCTCGAACTCAAAAAATAAAATGGCCATTAGGCTCTTGAATTTCAAAAAATGGATTTTTCCTTTTTTAGGCTTGAAAAATTAATCATAAAAATTTGTCATGCCTTAGGAGGGGATTAATTTGTATCCATTAGGTTTTTCGAGGATTGGTGTTATCGAAATCCTTTGTTTTGTTATGCCTTAGCACAAAATTATCTGGGAGTTCGATTAATTCGCTACCCCTTAGGGTTTTTCGAGGGTCGATATTATCGAGACCCTTAGTAATTCAGCCGCAGGTTGCCTTTTTAACCGGTTTATGAGAATATTTGAAGGCTTGTTTTATAACGGAATTCGGACGTCTCTGAACCGTGTTAATTTGGCCATAGCCTTTAGTTTGGGATTTTCCCCTTAGGCTTATTTCCTTGCTATACTTCGAACTCATTCTAAGTGTCAGTCCCCGATGCGGTGACCGTGGCCTATAAAATCGAGGATTGCCTATTTAAGGTCTTACGATTTCGAGGTTTAGTAATTTGATCATGTCAATTTTTTGGACGGCAGTCCCCGAGTATAGGGTAAATTGTTTGAACTTCAGTTGTGATCGGTCCTTAAGCCAGTTTCCACAATAGATCATAAGTATGAAATTGTAAAGTATAAATTTCTCTAAGGCATGGAACATCTGGTAAGGAAAAATACTTCTTTTAATAGATTATACATGCATACATGTTTTGCCATTAGGGCTCGAGTAATCTACATGGACACGATTCATTTGACCGTTTGGTCCTTTACCTATCGAGACCTTGTCGACACGAAGTATTTTTCTTGTAACTATCCGAGGGTGATTCCCCCCAGTATTCGAGGTTGATTGTAAAAGAGCTTCAGATACTGTTGAATTTCTCTAAGTTAGGACGAATAACGGTTGCCTCGTTAAAAACCTCGCCGGAAAAACCCATTTGGGACAAACCCGGTCTAAGGGAAAAAGAGTGTAAGCGTGCTTTCAGACCTAAGGACTTTGTGTTTGAAGAATCCTTTGGTGTCTTCGATTAAACACCTGCAAATGGTTAGTATAAAATATAAACGAAAATGGAGAAGGTCGTACCCTAGCAGTAATATCGTTTAAGGAGTGATATGTTCCAATTGTTTGGTAATTGTTCGCCGTTCATCGTGCCAAGTTTGTAGGATCCCTTTCCGATGATATCGAGGACCTGATACGGTCCCTCTAGTTCGGGCCAAGTTTTCCTTCGTTTGGGTCTCGAGTATTGAGGGTGACCTTCCTCAGAACCAAGTCCCCGATTTTAAAGTGTCGAAGATTGGCTCTTCGATTGTAGTACCTTTTGATCCGCTGTTTCTGTGCGGCCATTCGAATGAGGGCGGATTCCCACTTTTCACCTAGCAATTCGAGGCTTGTATTCATAGCCTCGTGATTTGACTTTTCCATTGCATATCGAAACCTGACGCTAGGTTCCCCGACTTCAACCGGGATTAGAGTTTCGGTGCCATATACTAAAGAGAACATTGTTGCCCCCGTACTGGATTTTGACGTTGTTCGATACGCCCAAAGGACTTCGGGCACTATTTCTCTCTATTTTCCCTTAGCGTCATTCAATCTTTTCTTTAGATTTTGAATGATGGTCTTGTTTGTCGATTCGGCCTGTCTGTTCCCACTAGGATGATATGGCATCGACAGGATCCTTTTTATTTTGTGATCTTCGAGAAACTTTATCACTTTGCTGCCGATGAATTGCTTTCCATTGTCGCATACGATCTAGGTAGGCATCCCGAATCGGCATATAATGTGGTTCCAGATGAAGTCTATGACTTTTTTCTCTCTAATTTTCTCGAAAGCCTTTGCTTCAACCCACTTAGAGAAATAGTCAGTCATAAACAAAATAAATTTAGCTTTACCTGGGGCCGATGGTAAAGGGCCGACGATATCCATTCCCCATTTCATGAATGGCCATGGGGATAAGACTGAGTGGAGTTGCTCTCCAGGTTAGTGAATCATCTGCGCATACCTTTGACATTTGTCGTACTTTCGAACAAACTCTTTTTTATCCTTTTCTATATCGGCCTAATAGTATCCTGCTCTAATGACTTTGTGAACCAATGATTCGGCACCAGAATGATTTTCGCAGGTGCCCTCGTGGATTTCTCGTAGGACGTAGTCGGTATCTCCTGGTTCCAAACATATTGTCAATGATCCATCGAACATCCTTCTATATAGTGTTCCATCTTCGGCCAATGCGAATCGTGCGACCTTAGTACGTGGAGACCTCGATTCCTTAGGATCCGATGGAAGCTTCCCGTTCTTTAGGTACTCGATATATTTGTTCCTCCAATCCTAGGTCAGACTTGTGGAGTTGATTTCGGTGTGGCCTTCTTCGATTACTAATCTTGAAAGTTGTACGACAGTCTCCGAGCTAATCTCGTTGTCTTCGACTGATGACCCCAAATTTGGAAGGGCATCAGCCTCGCTATTTTGTTCTCGAGGCACAATGTTGTAGGGTCCATTCTTTAAACCGATATATAGTTACCTGTAGTTCGTCCAAGTACCTCGGCATTTGATCTCCTCGAACCTTGAATGTTCTGTTGAGTTGGTTTACCACAAGCAGGGAGTCACATTTGGCCTCGATGACCTCTGCTCCCAAACCTTTAGCTAGATCGAGACTTGCAATCATGACCTCATACTCGGCCTCATTGTTAGTTAACTTGGAAGTTTTGATAGCTTGTCTAATTGTATTACAAGTGGGCGGCTTCAAAACGATGCCTAGCTCGGACCTCTTCACGTTCGAAGCACCGTCTGTGAAGAGGGTCCACACCCCCAATGATGTATCAGACTTTAATAATAGTTCTCTTTCGACCTCGGGTATGAGGGCTGGCTTATAGTCGGCCACGGAGTCCACCAAGATTTGAGACTTGATGGTCGTTCGGGGTCGATACTCGATATCGTACCTACTGATCTCGACGGACCATTTGGCCAATCGGTCCGAAAGTTCGGGCTTATGCAAAATATTGCGAAGGGGATAAGTAGTCACCACACATATCGGGTGACACTAAAAATATGGTTTTAATTTCTTAGAGGCGTTTATTAGGGCAAGCGCTAATTGTTCTAAGTATGGGAACTGGGTCTCGGCCTCACCTAAAGTTCGACTAACATAGTAAACTGGAAATTGTGTACCTTGCTCGTCTCAAACTAGGACCCCACTTACTGCAATTTTCGAGACTGCTAAGTACAAGTAGAGTTGCTCGTCCGCTTTCGGAGTATGAAGCAGTGGCAGGCTCGAGAGGTACCGCTTTAATTCTTCCAATGCTTGTTGGCATTCGGGGGTCTATGCAAAAACTATTCTTATTTTTGAGCAGTGAGAATAACCTGTGACTTCTATCTAAAGACCTCGAGATGAATCGGCCTAGGGCTGCTATGCGCCCTGTTAATCTTTGTACGGCCTTAACATTGTCCACGACTATGATGTCTTCAATTGCCTTGTCTTATCGGGGTTGATTTCGATCCCCAGATTTGATACCATAAAGTCGAGGAACTTGCCCGAGCCGACCCCGAATGCACATTTCTCCGGGTTGAGTTTTATGTAGTTTTTCCTTAGTATATCGAAGGTCTCCTGCAAATGTGTCAAATGGTCCTCTGCTCGCAGAGACTTAACTAGCATATCGTTAATATAAACCTCCATTGATTTACCTATTTATTTTTCGAACATTCGATTTACTAAGCGTTGATACGTGGCACCAATATTTTTTAGTCCAAATGACATTACATTATAACAATAGGTGCCGTAATTAGTGATGAAAAATGTCTTTTCTTGATCCTCCGGGTTTATTTGTATTTGATTGTACCCGGAGTAGGCATCGAGAAAATTAAGGATCTCGTGGCCAGCCGTGGCATCGATCATGCGATCGATATTCGGCAGAGAAAAAGAGTCTTTAGGACATGCTTTGTTTAAATCTTTATAGTCTATGCACATTCTAAGTTTATTTCCCTTTTTAGGGACTACAACTACGTTTGCTAACCATTCGGGATATTTTACTTACCGAATGGATTCTATTTTGAGAAGTTTGGCTACCTCGTCCTTGATGAATTCATGTTTTACCTCAGACTGGGGCCTTCTCTTTTGTTTTACCAAGTAGAACTTCGGGTCCAAGCTCAGTCAATGTGTAGTGATCTCTGGCGGGATCCCTGTCATATCTAGGTAGGACCAAGCAAAACAATCCATATTATTGATAAGAAATTTAATGATATTTTCCCTAAGCTCGGGGGTTAACTCCGTACCCAGGTATACTTTTCGATCGGGTAGATGCTCGATCCGTATGACTTGCTCCAGCTCTTCGACTGTCGATTTGGTGGCGTCAGAATCCTCGGGGATTAAAAAGGATCAAGGGGTCCAGTAGTCATCGTCCTCGTCCGTTCCCTGCTTCTCCAACTGAGTCGAGGCTGGTGGCTGTGGTTGCTATTTAGCTTCATGTTTTCCTTTGGACTCCGATCCATTTATTGACGAAAGCGCCAATACCGGTATTACTTCATTGACCGCGAACATCTCTTTGGTAGTATGTTGTTCCCCATACACTATTTTTACTCCATCCGATGTTGGGAACTTCAACATTTGGTGAAGGGTTGAGGGGACCGCCCTCATGTTGTGAATCCAGGGTCTTCCGAGCAGTGCGTTGTATCTCATATCGCCCTCGATCATATGGAACTTTGTTTCTTGAATAGTTTCGGCTACA